CCAGAGATACCAAAGCGAATATCTAACATTTGACATTTCATGGAAGAAAAAAAATAGCTGTTTGTATCAGAAGTTGAAGATTTCCTCACTAGGGAAATACAGACTGCTCAGAATAAAGGATGCTTGAGCCTTGTTGGTATTTCCTACCAAACGTTGGTACTCTTTCCAAAAGTGATCTTGAGATACTCACTGTTGGTTTTACCAGTCTTCTGGAGCAAAGCTTCCAGCTAGAAGTTGTGTCACAGAATGCTTCAGAGCCGCAGCGAGCACGACTGGACAAGACTTGGGCAGAGATGGGTGTTTCTCTTTTTCCTCTGTGCCCGCTGCAATGGAAGAACCAACTTTTAGCCAGCCTGAAAGACTGTCAGGAATGTCACCGGTCAGGATTCAGAGCCTCTTGTCAAACACACGGCTGTGTCACAGCCATCACATGGGATTTGGTAAATTTGTCATGCCACAATTAATCAATTTTAGCAGGCGATTTTCCTTACTGGTGTGCTTCCCGCCTCCCCAGGGCACTTCATCTGTCACAGACGAACGGGATGGGGATTTGTAGAAGTGTTAATGGGGTGGCTTTTCTCAGAGCCATCAAACTGCGCGCGCGTGTGGTCAGGTCAGGAATTTTTGACAGTCTCCTGGGAAGTGTATGGAACTCTCCAGAGGGGAGCTCCTTCTCCAGGTATACAGGCAGTTGCTTGTTTTGATGGTTTTTTGGAGCTAATTATTTAATTGTGGCAGGCATTGCTTTTATCATGCATAGAGATAGCTCAAGAAATGGAAATACACTAATTACAAGAAGGATGACTTAAAACAGGGGTTAATAAAATACGCTATTTACCCTATAAATACTAAAACAAGAAAAACACTTATGTGTGAGAGAGATTATTACAGGACTCATAAATCAAAGCAGCACAACAACAAAGGAAAGAAAAATGAGGCATTTAGTTCTCATGTATATTATATGATATTCCCTCCCAGATTTTATAAACAAATAAAGTATATTTAAAAAATAGACCAACTATGCTTCTGATACATGATAAGCATGAAGATGAAATTGTAATCAAAAGAGTTCAACTCAAACTAAATTATTTATTTATTATTTTCCTTCAAGCGCTACTAACGTCATAAAAGTTTTCAGCTTGAAACACTGGTAGAAATGAAACATTCACGGTGTCTTTTTCAGAGGCTGGAAACCTTATGCTTGGAATGATTTCTGCTCTGGAATGTCTGTAATATATTGAAGCCTTAATACCTTGCTAATTGGTACCTTACTAATTAGCCCGTGACAAGAATTTTAATTAGATGCACAGTAGGTGTTCTCCCTACCTGCAGTGGAGGAGCTATTTCCTGGGGAGAAAAGTGAAGGGAAAAAGGTAGTGGAAGGTATCAATAAAAGACAAATGTAATCTAATCCCTACTATGGGAAGAGTGTACATTAATTAATATTTTTCAAAATTATGTCTCTGATAATTTATTCTGGTTTGTAAAGTACATTAAAGTTCACTTTGTGATTTGCTCTTTTCCCCTGTAGAACAAATTGTACTTTTTTTTCTGTGACTTGACATGTGTTATAAGCAAAATGAGAAATATTGGAACATGACTGTAGTCAGTTATGCTCACGGCCAGCCCCAGGGACTGAGCTGAGCGCATCCCAGGCTCAAAGCGTGAGTCTCTGTAATCTGAGTTAAAGAGCTGAGCTGTGTACCTGTGAGCTGGATCAAGGTGAACAAGGCTGAAAAGGGAGATGCCCCACACCCTTGACCAATGGCATTAGTTGAGCCTGGGCTGTAGCACATTCTAGAGATAAAAATGCATACAAAAAGCTTGGAAGACACAGTTGAGTGAATTCCTATCAATGGCGACTCAAAAATAACAATATTGATGAGCATCATCTATCATTTTTCTTCTATCAGGAAAAGATGCGAAGGAGGGATAGAAGATGGCCTCAAGTTGCGCCAGGGGAGGTTTAGATTGGATGTAAGGAAAAATTTCTTTACTGAAAGAGTGGTGAAACATTGGAACAGGCTGCCCAGGGAAGTGGTGGAGTCCCCATCCATGGAGGTATTTAAAAGACGTGTAGATGAGGCGCTTAGGGACATGGTTTAGTGGGCATGGTGGTGTTGGGTTGACAGTTGGACTCGATGATCTTAGAGGTCTTTTCCAACCTCAATGATTCTATGATTCTGAGATACCTATCTGAAAATACTGCCACCGCTGATGTTCTCATTAGCTTAATGGCATATATCCCATTGCAGAGGATTTTAGGATTGTCATTTGGGATGAAGGCTATATTAAAATCTGCAAAGTATCTAGTGCAGTGAGAGTCTTAAAAATACAAATACAAAGTTGCTTCCCTCTCCATGGAAGCCTGAGTTGTGTGTGGATAAATACGAAGTTATTTGTCAGGCCTGGTAATCCCCATAAGCCCAGCAGTGAAAAGGGTGATTCAGTTTCAGCAGATAACGGGACATTCTGAAAAATGATGATCAGGTCCAGGGAACATTTTATATAAGGAGATATAAACATCAGTAAAAGTAAGGGGAGGATGAATTGCACAAAAGGGAAAACCAGTTAATGATTTTTACCCCACTGAAAGGACACTTTAGGAATGGGCTCTCTGGAGGAAGTGGAGAACTTGCTGTACAATTTGCATTATTTGAAAAATACCTTTTTTTATTTAATTTTGACTGGGCAAATTCTTCCGCATCGTGAACAAGGTCACAAGTGAGCCACGTTCCAGTGAATGCACTGTAGATATTTAAAAGCAATGGCTAAGGTATATTTTTATCCAAGAGGCAGCCGGAGGGAAGGGAGAATAAAGTTGCACCCCCTTGTTTTCGATAAAGTTTGCAGCAATCACTGTGAGACCAGTGGTTATTTCATGAATGTTAGAGAACGTTGGTGGAATGAAAACAGCAAATTAATAAATGGAGAAAAATCTGTAAGATTTAAGTGTACATTATATCAAGAAACTGAAAGAAGATGATGTAATCCTTGTGCCAGAATCAAAATAATCCTATCTCAGTCAATTAATATGAACAGTATGTAGTCTGAACACCAGTTGCACATTGTTTGTAGAATAATTCTGAGTACAGGAGAAGTCAGAGAAAATTATGATGGCCTGTGACCCACTCTACAAATAATAAAAGTTAATCTAAAATTGTATTTGCTCTGAAGTGTTCACTCAACTGCCCTGCCTGGTAAAAGATACTGTCTTTTCAAAGGGCTTTATTAACCGACCTGTCCTAAGAGATCTGGTCATTTACCATGGCAAATTTGTCTCCTACTATGAGTTCGATTAGAAACAGAAAAGGAGTGGGGAACTCAAACCGGGGTTAGTGGGATTACATCATTTTTCATCTTTTATAGGCAGAGATTTAAGGCTGATCCAGGTGCAAAAGATATTACTACTTGCTGTCTAATTAGGATGCAGGTTGGGTCTGGTGTATCTTGAGGTACATCTCGTTTTGCAGGTAGGTGTGAGTCTTCCCTGACACCTCTAAGCTAGCAAGACACCAGCTACATCCAGATCACAGGCTGTGTGGCCACTTCTGTAAAGCACTATACTGAAAACTGTTACCTCTGCAGAAAGGCAGGATATATTAGCTCAGACTTGATGCCATGCTACACACATCTGTATCACTCCTGGCCAAATTAGAGCATAAGGGTGAACTTGAATATCCCTGCAAACAGGCTGCAGTTGTACCCTTTGTCCAGTTCCTAGTGGGACTGCTGCTCACATCACAAAATGTCCACCATAGATAGCACTTTAGCAGAGCCTTTCTCAGTACTCTGAGAATTGAATAGGCTATTTGGAAAAGGCAGTTATAATGTACCACCACTTCATTTGAACAGTGCATTTTGGAAGGAAAAAAAACCCCACACAACAAAACATCTCTGATGTGATTGCCTTTCTTTCTCCGAGAAATAAAAGGAAGCTGGTTTTCTATCCTCAGTCCTTTGGTGATGGTAGAGTTCAGCATCCAGTACTTTTATCCTTCCTGGATAAAACATACCCATATACATATGTGGGTTTGCTATGGGATACGGTGCAATATTTCGGATTGCAGGCCTCTACGGAGCATCTCCTTTATATCCCAGGTGGTCCAATGTTATTTTACACAGTCTAGTTGAGATAAGGATGTAGATTAAAATGCAGGTCAGAAGCCCTAACCAGACTTGGCAGGGAGGAAAGGATATTGGTTTGCTAGAGTAATTACCCGTAGGAAGTGGTGATGCTGACACGGGTTTCATTTTTTGAGTGTTGCTAAAGATGTTTATCTTTGCTCTGAAGGCTTTAGTCTTTTATGGTTTGAATGCTGGCCATGAAGGAAGCTGTCTCTTTTCTCTATGCTCTATCCAGCAGTAGTGCTCTTCAAAATATTCTGAAGATTTTTATATCTGAAAACTGAAGGAAAATATATTCTTACTTCTGAGCCTTTTACTGGAATTCATTTAATCAGAGACATACTGTCTTGAATTTGAATTAATATTTGGAGTGTATTTGCTTGAGTAAATAGAGCGTATCATGTTGTGGAGTAGAGATTTAGTTGCTGTTGTGTTATTTTTTTGTCTCCTCCACCCAGAATTGGCTAGAAAGGCATATTCTAAACTGTAAAATAATATCCGAATCTTTTATGATATCTTCTCTCTTACATAATTTAAACTGAAGATTCATTATTTAAGAAAACCTAAAATGAATTTCAGAGCTTGTGTTATGTAAGTCAGCTAGTTACATCAAGCAGAAAAACTGAACATTGCCTTTGGGAGAGAGAGAGAGGGGGAAAACAAATGCTTGAAAGCAGAGTCTAGGGAATGGAGGACAATTTGGGGACCAGCTTCCCTGCAAACCATGCCATAGAGAGGCTGGCAAAAGGCACTGGGTACACATGGAGCACCAGTCAACCTCAAAGGTTCTCCGGGATCGATTATGGATGCTTATGTACGTATGTTCAGTCTGGGAATAATACTCAATATTTTCACATGATTTTGTCTTCCAGAATGATTGAAGATTGTGGGAAAAGAGGAAATACCATGGCAGAAAGAAGGCAGCTGTTTGCAGAAATGCGTAAGTACTTCCTAGAAATGTTTCGCTGTGATAGACCAAGCCAGTTGCAATGCAGTGTCAGTAAAATTTATGCAAGCTTTCTACCTCAAGTAACTGATATCTCCATTTCACAAATGGTTTAATGTCGTGGGACCAAAATTACAGGAAAATGGGCTGATTTGACCAAATAGCAGGAGGGAGGGATTTTCTAAATCAGATTTTGTGATTGTATTATTTTAATCGGTAGCTTCTCAAGACAAAAATGCTGCAATACACAGGTAGCAATGAAGAGGGATAAAGGTCTCCAAAAAACTACATCTTTTAGTGGGGGTATCCGTAGTGGGTTGACCCCAGCCAGCTGCTAAGCACCCACACAACTGCTTACTTAATCCCCAACCAGCCTCCAGCGGGATGGGAGAGAATATAGGGAGAGCAAAAGCAAGAAAACTCATGGCTTGAGAGAAAGACAGTTGATTAAGTGATGGAAAGAGAGAAAAAAATGACAACAAAGACCAACAACAACAAGTGATGCAAAGGTGGTCACTCACCACCTCCCAAAAGCAGACTGATGCCCAGCCAGTCTCCGAGCAATGTCCACATTGGAAGACAAAACTCCCCACCCCCTTCTTTCCCTCCCCCAGTTTTATTGCTGAGCATGACATTATATGGTATGGACAATCCTTTTGGCCAGGTGGAGTCATCTGTCCTGGCTGTGTCCCTTCCCAACCTCTTGCCCACCCCCAGCTGACTCTGGGAGGGGACAGAGTAGGAAACAAAAAGGCCTGGATGCTGTACAAGCACTGTTCAGCAATAGCTAAAACATCGGTGTGTTGTCAACACTTTTTTAGCCACAAATCTAAAACACAGCACCATGCAGGCTGCTATAAAGAAAGTTAACTCCATCCCAGCCAGACACAGTACAGGGACTCATATACTACATAGCCCACTTCAACACATTTTTTATAGTTTCTAGTGAAGCTTTGTGTTCCCTGCAGAATAGTGTGTCAGGGATGTACTATACTAACAATATTCCTGCAGTTCTCTTGACAGTCATCTCTTACTTCTCTTACAAACAATCCACCATTTCTCAAGGAAATTCTATTACGTATGAAGTTCGAGACTGTCACCCTGTTACTAGATTTACCTAAGTTCTGTCTGTAATTACTAAGCTTCCTATTATTTGTCCCCTGCAACATAGTAAAAAATGACAGAACATCTCCCCCATCTTCTGGGGGAGACTAAGATGAGCATTACTGGGACTTGAGCAACTGTGCGCACTGAAAGGCCAGGTCTGTGCTGGTGAATTAAATGTGCTCGGGACTGTTCTCTGGGGGTGAGCCCGGGGTGACCGAATGGCCTACATCTGTGCTCCTGAGCTCTCCAAATTAAGGACTTCTCATTCAGATGGCCTACTGAGAACAGTTCTTGGCCCGTTCCACTGTGTCCACTAGCTCTGTTGTGCCCTGTAATTATTTCAATATCACACAAAGCTTGCTGTTGTAACTCAGATGGATATTTCTCTTGTCCCTTGTGTACAACACCTTGGACCGGTGGAGGAGGGGTTGCTCTTTGGCCAGAAGCGAGGGCGGAAGCAGGGGGGGGGCGGGGGGGAGGAAAAAAAAAAGACCAAGAAAAAAGGACGATGCATTTGTCCATTACCAGAACGTACTATACCTTTAATTAGAATTATAGAGAGGACTTGAGCTTGTATCAGCTAAAGTCAATAGCACAACTTCCATTAACTTCAGTTAGTTTGAAATATTCCTAAAATGGAAGATAATTGCTTAAGACTTTGCTGTGAGGATTTATGGTTTGTTCCCACAGTTTTGAAAGCTGTTTTGCTGTTGGGTTTTTTTGGAGGAGTTAAGGAGGTGTTGGGAAAATTTGCAATCAGTAGTTGGAGGCGGAGGAGGGACTATTTTCCCATACTGTACACAAATAGTTATTGTCTACTATTTTTTCTTTCACATTTTAGTATTTTGACATACTTGAGTCTGGTTTATCTCGTATGCTTCCCTTTTCTTATTTGCCTGCCTCCCTTCCTCCTCCTACTACACATGCACACAGAGAACTAGGTTCCAACTAGGTGAAAAGAGGGGAAAATATTAAGTCTTTGTGAAAAACTAAGTATGTTTTAGGCAGAGAAATGTCCATATTCATGAAACACTGAATTTTGCATTTTGACAGTCCCTTGGATTCCTGTGTGTGTAAAGGGTGTGCTTCACTGAAACAGAAGCTCAACCTGGCATTGCATTCAGGTGGCCTCAGCTGTGTGCAAGCCCACACGATCCATGTTTAACAAAAACCATGTGCTCCACGCGCCCTACGTACTGCGGGCCACGCAAAGCTTCTTAGCATTGTAACAAACTTAAGCTTCTGGTAAAATGTTAAACCCCACAACCTGCTGATGTTAGAGGAAGAAAATTCATAATATAGAGGACTTTGCCAGTGTTTCAGGTTCTTGCAGTCATATCTGCAAGTCTGTGATTAAAACCCCACAATACTTTTAGAAAGTGGGTCATGTTCCAGACTACACAAGACAGCAAAAAAAAAATCCAGCTTTTCCTGCCTTTTTAAGTAGGAAATTTGTTCTGAACAAGGAATAGCTGGATTTGACTCTCACTTTAGATTTGAGCCACTGTGTGATTTTCCCTGTATTTAAAGAAGTTTAGTTTGACTTTTTGTTTCCTTTCCTTCAGAAGAGGCATCTTTGTAGTTCCAAATTACAAACTTCTGTGAATTAGTATCATAATCAATATCATCTTCTGTACAATCCTGTGGTTAAAGCTTAAATTGTGTCTTATATCTCAAAATGCACCATGGGATGTCAAATCACTCGGCTACCCTTGGTCTTACCTGACATGCTCAGATATATCCGGACTGATGAAGAGACTTCAAAATGTACATCACTCTTGTGCTGACAGCACATATTATCCAGCAAGAAAACAGCAGCCAAAGCTTGCAATGTATCCCTTTATTATTTTTGCAAACTGCAAACAGTGTTACATGAGATGAGCATATTCAAAGGAAACAGAGTGAAACACTGCCAGCAGGCAAAAGGAAGGAGAGGCCACTGGCAATCCTGTAGGCAAATTACAAATTCACAGTCTCGTTTGCCGTGCTCAGTCCCATACAACTTTCCACTTGTTTTTCAGGACTCTCCGTGTAAGTGAAGTCACTTTTCTACAGAAGTTATTTGACAAATAGATCTCTGACTACGGCGAAATGTGAATCATGATAAAATTAAATTGTCTGTTCCAGGGATTTATCAGCAAAAACACCTACTCCCAAAATAATATCAAAATAATACCATCCACTGTGTGTGTAAATAGTAAAGAAAAAAAGCAACATTATTGCCTACAGATTTGTTTATTTAGGATTAATACTGCAACCTAGGAAGCTCAATGAGCCACACTCTCACTTTGCTTTGAATCTTTACATCTTGTTAAAGAATCTTTGCATCTTGTTAAAAGGCTGAAGTTTTATGAAGGAGCACTGGAAGCTTTTATTAGTAGCTTTCACTAAAGTTAAGAGGGAAGAAGTTAAATTCATTTTACTCATTGGTCCCATTAAAAAATGAAAGACTTAGTCTTACAAGCATTATCCTCCCCTTTACCAGTAAAGAAGTTTTCCAAAATCTGTCAATGAGATACTAATGGAGAAGCGAAAAACCTCTGTAATTTAACAATAAAACATATGATGAAAAAAAAACCAAACCAACTTTCCAGTCCTGATGTTAAGTAGTTAAGGGTAGCTTCTCCCAGGAACAGATGGTGTTAAGACAGCCAGCTGGCAAAAGGGAGTAGCTGGGAGCCCTGGGAAGATGGTGTGGGAGAATCCGGTCAGGAAAAGAGCAGATTCTGGGGAAAGGGGAGAGTATCATTCTCATTTTTATCTCACAGGTCAGAGCACATTTGAAAAATTTGGGTCCAAAGGATGGCAGATTGTTTAACAAAGTGTGGGTGAACAGTGCCGACATGGCCATATGTACAACGGTGCAGCTGAGCAGCCAGTCTAATAATGTCAAGATGAATCTTAAAGCATTCGGGAAGCATGTGTAAAAGCAGAATAGGGCCATATTCCACTCCACTTCTCTTACAGCTTGATTGTACCTTGTCTGGATGTGTTTCGTGCAGACAGTTCATTAAGAAACTCTGGTTTTTATAACTTGGTACCTTGCTTAACTGAATAGAACAGGTTTTACTCCTGTTACAGGGCCAACCACAGTGAAAAAGCAAATACGCAAAAATTTAATTGAATGGGTTTCCATGAAATGTGTGGTAAAATTAATAAGCAGTCTTGTATTTCATAGGCCATATTGTAGCTATGAGGCAACACTTCTTTATGTAAGACACACCAGCCAAGAAGGAGAAAGATTTAAATCACAATCTCCTTATCTACTTTTTGAGGTTTTTGGGAAGCGTTATGAGTGGTACACAGCAGCAGGAGGCCTAAAGACACTGTGCCAGGTTCTGCCCCCATCCCGGACCCTCTCTGCTGCGCTTGTATGTGAAGTAGCTACCAGTCAGTTTATACCCATCTCCTGGACAGCTGCTTTGGAAGTGTTGCCAGATCTTTAAGTCGGAGCAGCCAGGGCCAAGCTATGTGTGAAGCAGAGAGCTGACCCTTTGAGGTCCCCGTTGCAGAGAACATACCTCTGCAAAACAGAGAAAGGCCTCACGGCCTTTGCATTATTTTTGCCCCCCTTCTGCAGACTGCTATCAGTCTTTTCATTACAGCATGATACTGTTTCTAATTTGGTTTGCTGGCAATACCTTGTTCTGATCTGGCATGTCAGTCAAAGATATTTGTTATGAGCTTTGTTGTTAAATATTAAAATTAGATGGAGGTTTTCCCTGCTGTTGGAGCCTGGCCAGCGTGTCTTTTAGCCTGCAGCTTGACCAGATTGTTCTTCGAAGTGACAGACACAGTGGGCTGACTATTCCTTGCCTTCCTTTATAGAAGTCTTTTAACACTGTAGCTCCTGCCATTCCCCTTCTTTCTCCTCACCCCTTTCTACTCTCCCTGCAAAGGAGAGAGCCTTGAAAATTATTAAAGAGTCAGCTCATGTGTCCTCTTTGTTCTCTGGCTTCCCTGCTAGCAAAGATACGCACAAGTCATATTCCGTACAAATGTCGCTGTTATTCTCTTCCACTAGGGGCTCAAGATCTGGATCGCATTCGTTTGTCCACCTACCGAACAGCATGCAAGCTTAGATTTGTTCAGAAGAAATGCAACTGTAAGTATGTCAGCGCTTCTTTTGTATACCATTGTTATTAGCTTTCCACTGCACTCCCCAGTCTGTCCTTCACATCAGTCACAAAGCGGGACTGTTTGATCCGGCATTGCAAAGGACGCTAATCAGAGTGCCTGGGCAGATTTTAAATAGCAACTTGTTTATCTAAGGAACTTGCCTCAAACATGCTAGTGATTCAGCCATAGAAGGGTGATTCGTGATGCAGGCCACAGCTTTAATTAATAAGTACATTAACTACATTCTCCAATTTTCTTGTAAAATAACATTTGGGGGTTTCAGCAAGGTCCTACAAATTAAATGCTTTTATAGCAACTCCGTGAGAAGAAATGGTGATTCTAGTCCTCGTCTATTTGGGGTGCAGCAAAGTAAGTACAATGTCAGTCAGCCCCCTTTGTTCCAGAAGGCCAGCCTAGAGGCATCTCTTCTAAGAGGATGGACCTGCTTGTAATCTCTGCATGTCTGTCTTCCTCCATCTAGGCTTCGTTCCTGAGAAGCTTCCCACTTGATTAGTGACATTTTTAATGTTTCTTCTGAGATTCAGTCTTTCTTCCTTTACAGCTGCAGTTTCTATTAGCACAGTAACGTGCTGTGAAGTTTAAAGGGGAAATACATATAAAATCTGTAATGGAGTGTATCCTTTCTTCTCCATCCAAAATAGTATGCAAATACTTAGAATGGCGGGGTTTGGGTTATGCGTTTTACCGGACCTTTCCACACCAAGTAAAAAAAAAAAAAAATCCTAACCAGGGGAGCTCTTGTCAGCAGTAGTACTGGGGGAAAGGACTAATGCAAAGGAAAGTTTTTTTAGTCTTCATATCTAAACTAGAATGACAGCCTTGGCTACGCTTGTGCTACTCACAGTAGTAAGTACTATAAGAAATGCTCACTGCAGATAGAGATTAACCACCCAGGAAAGAGTTCCTAATTTTCAGGCTACATCTATCTGTGTTACAGAAATGTTTAGCTTATGCTGTCCAAACATACTGGAGAGGCAAAGTTGTGGCGGGAAAGACTTTGGAGAGTATTTATTGGGTTATTAGCTACGGAGCTGGTCATTCAATCAATTCTGCAGCACATTTCTCATGGTTTTAATATGTGTTTAGCTGAAGTATGAATTGGAGGATTAGTATCACATTATGAGCAGGCTGCCAGACGTAAAACCCAGGAGGGGTTTAGTACCTACCCAGCAGCTGGTTTCTCCCATTCAGGAGGAAATGCATTGAAAGACACTATTATGTTGCATTCAGTTGTTTATTTTAATTTTTTTAATTTTATGTTTAAGAGGATGAAATTTTCTCTTTGTTTTCATGGTAATAGAATACAATAGTCTCAGGTGACAAGAGTGTCCAATTAAGTTGACAGTGATAGCAAAGTCGTAACACTAATTGCTTTGATAACTGTATACAAAGCAAATGAAAAAACCTAAAGGTGCAATAGCCTCATTGTTGGGAGTGGCTGGCTGGCTAAAAATATTGGTTGTTAATCTTAACTTTGTTCTTGTTATTTATCAACTGCGATCTGCTTTTGTGGAACTATTACTTCTCTTCATAGAGAAGTAATGGCCTTCGGTTTGCCAGCTTGTGCCAAGTCGCTCACGGTCAGTGCCTGCAGAAGTGATTTGCTGGTCTTATATCAAGACTTATATTGTATCAACCTCTTCTGAAAAAAAAAAAAAGGTGGGGAGACTTAAAAATGTTGTCCTAAGAATTAGGTTCTGTGCAACTTAAGGAATAATGCTTGTTGCTCTGGAATGGGCTGAATCGCGTGTGTCTTTTCACTGTCAAGTACAGTTTTCTTCTGATTGTTTCTGTTAGACTGCTGCTCTGCCAGATGGCTTTCTCTTATTAGTGGGAAAAGAAGTCATTCATTCACCTGATATGATTTCAAGCAATGGCTGTCCAAGGCAGAGCTTCTCAACATAGAGCCACTGAACCGAGCGCTGCCCCAAAATGGTTAATATCAGACCTCTGGCTCATGTCAGCTACTCTTTTTATTTTTTTTTCCCCCTACAGAAATTGCCATTATGCACCACCCAATAGTAAGTTTAGGAGAAAAAAAAAAGGACATGGGAAGAAAAACCTTCTGCTGCATCTGAGCTGTTTCATTTAGGGGAGAATATAAAAAGAAAAAGCTCAAAGGCAGTTCTGCTCCACTCCCAGTGCGTAGCACCTCCTGTCACTCAAGCCATCCTTTTCTTTCAGCTGTGCTCTCCTGCCCTGCCCTGGCACACCAGCCCAGACTTACTAGGAAAAAATTGCTTGGAAAGAGTGTATTTAAGGGGTTCTTTTATAGAGCTAATTTAATAAATTGCAGGGAGCTGCTTTTGGCTACAGGCTGAAGGTGTATGAGGATGGAAGCAGAGAGCTGCTTTGAGTGCCAGAAGTGGCTGTTCCAAGGAAAGCAGAGCAGAGGTTTTATTAACACCATCTTTTTTACCTGAAGGTGTCCATTAGCATAGACAGTCACAGGATGTCATTTAAAAGGCAGCTACGTTTGTCACAAACAATGCACTGCTTGTTTCTGCTGTCTTTAATGCAGACACAGACACAGGTTCGCCTCCTGGCCTCCCTTTGTGAATTCGTCTCTCAACACAAAAGGCTGTTTTGCTGAAACCTTCAGCAGCCAGCTGGGTTTTACTGGTGAAGTAGGCAGTGTGCAATGGGCAAAGGTGCCTTCAGATTCTAAGAGCCATTCTCTCTTGCAGCATTTCTCCTTAAACTAGTTAAACTATCTGGCCAAAGATTATAGAGGAGGTCACAGTTTACCACCATGTACCAGAATACCACTACATATGTTGCACTTTGAGTACTAACGCTGTCAATCAAATTAATTGCTCCATGGCATTATTTAATTTTCACAAGAGGAAGACTACTTTAAAGATATTTAGCAAACAGTCTTCAAAATTGCAAATATATGTCCTTCTGGTAATTCTATAAAACTTTAGGAAAACTAATATGCATGTGGAAAGTACTTCTTTTATAAAAATCTCTCTGAGCATTTAAACCAACAGGCATTTTAAATAAAATCAGCAAAGTGAGAAAAATCGATATCAGTCATTGCAATTATTTGTCCAACAGGATAGAATTGAATCCAGTCCAGCCTTCAGAGAAGCAAGAAATTCTTCTTAAGAACTCAGAAAATGAGTAGATAAATTTGAAAAAGCTGTAATGTTATCTTTCAAAGAAAAATTCCTTCAAATTTAAGCATTCCCCTTTGCCTATGTTAATGCTACAAATAAATAACAACATTTATAAATTATTGTTGGCACACCTCTGAATCTGCTAAGTGGCCAAACGTGGGATTCAGTATGTGACAAAAATCTTAAAAGCAAGAGACCCACAAAATTCTACATGCAGGAATCCTAAAAGCTGGGAAGCTTTGTTAGCGCACCATGAGCATAAACTCATTTTATGCTTCTCTATTTCTGCTGACAATTTCTAAAATTGGAAGTAGAGAAAAGAGAAACTCTGTAGGTAATACAGGTACCTTTGAGGATGTGGCGGGTATAGAAAGAGATGACTGCAGGCTATTTGCTTATTACTTTGCAGAACTCCTGTAGCAATAGGAGACTTGTTGCAACAGCGAGACATTGCAATAGTAATAGTCTTCTCTTAGTCATAAATACTAACACAAGATGTAGGTACCTGTTCTGTAAAAAAAGGAAAAATCAAAAAAATACTAAAGAAGCCTTGAGAAGATCTTGAGATTTGGGGATGAGTAATTCCAAATGCATGCCAAGAGTTTTGGACAGACGGACCCCGGAGAAAACACTGCTGGTGGTTACGCCATCTTCAGATCTCAGAATGTAGAGCAGGAGTGTGCGAGCTGACTGTGGCTGCTCTACTGGATTATGGTGCTGGATATAGTCTCGGAAATAGCAGCACCCTAATCTTTTGAGGTTAAATTTCATTATTTGGGATAATAAAAGCAGATAGGAAGCAGGTGCAGAAACCTGATCAAACATGCTGCATGTTTATTCTGGTCTGTACTGTACAAAATGTACAAAATACGAATAGCTGACTTCTTCATCATCTAAATTTTCTAAATGTGTTTTAAAGGTGGCCCTAAATAGTGCACACTGCAAAAATCAAGGAGGGACATGGAAAAACTACAGGTGAGCACTGTGAGGTCTGCAACAGTCGCAGAACTTGAAAACCCTACGAACCAGTGTTGCTCTGACAAGTCAAACGTTAGGGTATTGTCCTTCACTTCACCTCCAGTGTATTGGAGAGGGTTTTGGAGCATCCGATACACATTCTCACCATACAGACTCCCGCTCAGCTCCCCTTACCGCCAGGAAAATGCCATCTTGACAAGGTTAATTTACAGCTGTTTATCCATAGTATTCAGACACAGAAGCGTAATAGGCTTTCCTAAAACAAGGCATGAAGGACCAATGACAACAGTTGCACGTATCTCTCAACTTTCACCAGTATTCAGGAACCACCAAAAAGCACAATTTATAGTTATCCCCAATGATCATTGTGCAGTTGGTTTATTTTAATATTTGGGTTTTGGTGAATTTATTAAAACCCAATTGTTTATATGGAAAAACAAGCTGAGATGAAATATTGTGTTCACATGCAAATTCCCTCTGGGCTATAGTGGCAGCAGGAGTAGAACATAACAACATACCATAATCAAAACCATTATACAATTAAACATCACTCACTAATACAGAACTGTACAACTGGAAAACTACTGCTGTCCTTGATGAACTTTTCTCAATGTGTTGTGAGGTTATTCTGTGACTCTGGCTGCAAAAAGCAGATTTTGCTGATTTCCCTAGATCAGAATAAATCATTGGCAGTTGAAAACTTGAATCTAAAGCTGTGCTGGTGATAGTAATATGTGGCTTAACTAATGCAGACAAAAAGGGTGCTTGTTTCTCTGGCAGTTTAATCCCAGCACCTTAGGGTTTCAGTGTCTTTGTTTCTCCCTTCAATATCCTTCTGCGTGAGTGATTTTCTTCTTTTTTCCTT